AATAAAACTCTTCGTAAGAATTCAATTATTTTCATAAGGAACAAAATTCTTTAGTAGGAATTAAATTCTTTTAAAAATTTGTTAACAAAATTCTTCGAAGAAATTCAATTATTTTAGAAAATTGTAATGCAACTCTTGTCAAGAATTCAATTATCATTATAAATATCAAAATTTTTTGCAGAAATTCAATTATATATTTAGAAATAACAAAATTTTTAACTAGAATTCAATTATTTTTAAACATTTCATAAAATTCTTCGCAGAAATTTAATTATTTTCCAAAATTTTCATAATTTTCTTCGCAGATATTCAATTATTAATATTAAAAATTGAAATACAATTCTTGGCAAGAATTCAATTAACAAAAATATTCCCAGAAATTCAATTATTTTAAAAAATAACAAAATTTTTAGCAGGAATTCAATTATTTGTTAAAATTTTCATAAAATTCTTCAAAAATTTAATTCTTTTAAAAAATAACATTTTTTATCAGGAATTCAATTAATTGTTAAAATTTTCATAAAATTCTTCACAGAAATTCTATTATTTTCAAAAATTTTAATAAACTTCTTCGCAAAAATTCCGTATAGTCCGTATTTTTAAAATACTTCCACTGATTCGAGCCGCTGCTTTAGAGACCTAATATTTTTAACATTTTTGAAATATCTTTTGCTGTCTATTTCAATTTTATATATTTATATTGGTTTGTTCGAAAATTTGTGTTTATATCGAAACGGAAAATAGAATTATATAGCGAATAGAGGAATTTATCTTCCTGAAGAATAAGCGAGTGATATTGACAGTATTATATTGACGAAGAGATGTCTTATAGGGACAATATTCAACGTCTTTGATCAATATTTCATGTTATGTAATATTCTTGATTATATTAAGATCTAAATTTAGGTTCTAGACCTCTGCATTCATGGAAGTGGATCGATATTGTATAGGTTAGAGACCTGCTTAGAAGTTTTTGAATATTTAAAATTTTTTAAAGTTATTTACTGAAATTCAGAAATAACTTTTTATGATTTTACCGAAATGGGTTGGATAATTTTTTTTCAAAAAGTATTGTGCTTTTGTAGGAAGAACATTATTATTAAAAATGTTTCAAATTGTTAGATTTCGGCTTGTCTTATATGATCAAAAGTAGCAGAACTTAAAATCTGGGGTTTTTGGGCCAGAAGTATAAAAATTACTTTTTGTTTAATTTGTAATCATCTATTTCTAAAATGTCTTTTTTGTTATTGTTTCGAAATTCTTGTTACAGAAGAAAAACATCAGCTTTGTCCAATGAAGATTGGATGAACAATTTTGTGTTGGAGAAAAAAAATGGTATTAATATTTAATGATGAATAATTTTACAAACTGTTGGAAAGATGGAAAGACATGGAAAGAAATAAAAGAAGGAAAAATTCTTTCAAAGCGAAACTCACGAAGAAAAAGTCCTATGCTATGTAATTAAGTTTTTGAAATTATGAAAAAATTGAGTCAAGTTTAATTTTTCGGTAGTTACCTTTTTACTACTTTCTTCAGTCTTAGAGCTACTTTTTGATACTGTTTTAAAATTAGAAAAGAGTTAAAGAGTACGAAGCCTTTAATTCTCAAATTATTAAAAATAATTCATTTAGAAAGAAATTTTAGTTAAAAGTTATTGAAAATTGAATCGATATCTTCAGGGACATTTTTTTGTGTGTCTAATAATTTTTGGAGTGAATCATAATATTCTTTAGGATTAAGGAAAAAGTAAAAATCAGGGAAATCAAATTCTTGTAACAATCATGGTTAACAAATTAGTATTCGTTGATCTATATTATTCCTGAATTTGTATTCGTAGATTTTTATTATTCCAAATTAGTATTCGTGGATTTGTATTATTCCAAATTAGTATTCGTAGATTTTTATTATTCCAAATTAGTATTCGTAGATTTGTATTATTCCAAATTCGTATTTGTGGATTTGTATTATTTCAAATTCGTATTTGGAGATTTGTTTTATTCCAAATTATTCTTTTTTGTGGATTTATAGCTTTTCGAATTTGAATTCTTGAATTTGTAGACATTTAGATTGATCATGATAAATTGCAGAAGATTTTTCAGAGCAACAAGTCGCAACTTTTTGCGAACAGTTTTGAAAATGCAATTGATATTACCGTTAGTGATGCCTAAGAGTTGTTAATACATTTTTTTTGCCAAGGTCGCAGCCCAAACTAGAGTCGAGTCGTCGAGACTTGGGATTGGAAACTTGCAAATGTGAATAAATTTGTGTGTATTTTTTTTAAATATCTATACATACACGTTTTCACCAATACTTTAAAAAGAGAGGGAATATTATAGCCTCAAGGTACATGCTCACCAACACCCCTTTGACTCGAAAGACTCTATATGCAGCATTCCACATTGGCTAGCTAGTGTTAATAGCGAGCGACTGACCTTCCTCGCCATATTCACATTCATACAACCCACACATTCACACATTCACACATACAAACACATATATATTTATATATATAATCGCGCACAAAAGTTGTGCAAGCCGACACTTAAAATTATCTTCGTCTGTGATCAGTTATTTACACAACATTATTTGAAATTTTTATTTCTTTTCGAACACTCAGGTGTTATAAATAATTGTAATTCACTTCCGAAAATGGTTTCTGTTTCTTGACCATGGTATCATCATGGGGAAAGAATTTTGACTACGCTAGCGGTTCGTTTTTTCCTGTTTTTTAGGGAAATTTAGTGTCGTTGCTATTTTCAAACAGCACAGATAGTTCCCTTTGTCCCTTTTTTTTCAATTTTGTCACCTTTTTCGCATTTTTTGATGATTTGTCCCTTTTTCACCTTAAAGATGTTGTTCTTTCTTTTAAAATATTTTTTAATATGTAATCATAAAATTTAGACTCAATTTTATAGAATTCAGTTCGTTTTATTTTTTATTTAACATAAAAATTTTGATAATTTTATGAAAAGAGGCGGATAATTCATATTGATTATATTATTTTTCAAATATTTAAATTTCAATCAGAGCATTAAAATGTTTGTTCAACATTTTTTGTTTTGCCGTAGAAAATATTCACTCGAATGATTCGTGGAAGTATTTTTTCTTTTTCTCTCTTTTTCATAAGAAATGAAAAATACAAATATGGGTTGAAAAAAAGAATTCCAGAGATTTAATTTTATCAGGTCAACAGGGTAGCTTACGTGGTCACGTCTCGTTATTTCCGCGTGTCTCCTAATCCAGAACTCGACGATGGCGCGACCTTGAAATTACTGTGTTGAGTAGTGTGCTTGTGTATTATATGTATATATGAATCGTTCCTATACTCGCGCATTAATTAATGTTCCAATTTCACACAAATTTGCTTTCACGCGACGACTATATATAGGTGTATACTCAAAAATACCATTATATCGGCATTCATTCAATGTAATATATGATTGATGATCGATATTTATTAGACCAAATGTTTAAGGAAAAACTTTTTTTGGGTGGAATTTAAAAAACTGTTTAGAATTTGCCCTAAATTTTAAATATTTTAACTTTTTTTTAAAAACATTACCGGTGCGCAACATAACCTCAAAAAGTTAACTTTAATCAATATTTATAAGTTTTTCAAGTTATTTTAAAACGATTTCTTTCGTTTCTCTTAAAATAATTTGAAAAGTGTATTAGAAAATTTAATTGCTATTTACTTAACCTTAAAAATATTAATTTCAATTTTTTGAAAAATATCGTTGGAACTTAGATTTTTGAAAAATTTGAATAATTTAAATTCTTCTGAAATTAGTTAAAATAATAATTATATATTTTCAAAAATTTTAATAAAATTCTTGGCAAAATTTCAATTATTTTCTAAAATTTTCCTCAATTCAATGATTTTTAATATTCTAGTTTTTTAATAAAGTTTTCGAAAAGAATTTAATTATTTTCATTGATAATAAAAATTTCATATGAATTCAATTATTTACAAATTTTTTAAAAATTTCTTCGCAATAATTCAATTATTTTTACAAGTAATAAAATTCTTATTTAATTATTCAATTATTTGAAAAAAATTTTTTATAAAATTCTTCGAAGAAATTCAATTATTTTAGAAAATTGTAATACAATAAATTCTTGTCAAGAATTCAATTATTAGTATAAAAATCAAAATTGTTCGGAGAAATTGAATTATATTCAGAAATATAAAAATTTTTAACTGGAATTCAATTATTTTCAAAAAGTTTATAAAATACTTCGTAGAAATTGAATTATTTTCAAAAATTATCATAATTTCCTTCCCAGATATTCAATTATTATTAAAAAATGTAATACAATTTTTGACAAGAATTCAATTATTATTGTAAGCAAAAAAATATTCCCAGAAATTCAATTATTTTGAAAAATAACCGAGAAAATAACCAAATTTTTAGCAAGAATTCAATTATTTTCAAAAATTTCATAAAATTCTTCCAAAAAATTCAATTTTTTAAATAAGTAACATTTTTAGCAGGAATTCAATTATTTGTTAAAATAACAAAATAAAAATGATAGAAAAATTTCAATCATTTTTAATACAATTTTAATCGAATTTCTGAAAAATGTAATTATTCTTAAAAAATTTATTAAAATTGGTCAAAAGAATTCAATTATTTAAAAATTTGTTGATAAAATTCTTTATGAAAATTCAATTCGAAGAAACATTGAATTAAATAACATGGTTATTTGTTTATTTAAATAATTGAATTTTCGTAGAATTTTCTAATAAAAATTGATTTAAAAATGAATAGGTACATTATTTAAAAAAATAATTTTTGTTTAGTTTAGAAAAAAAAATTTTCGCTCATTTTAAATATTTTTCTTTTTTAATATTTAATATTAAAATTTTCAAAAATTAACTTTAAATAACTTTAAATATTTTTAAAAAATTAATTTTTTAAACAATTAACTTGAAAAAAAAATTACTAAAAAATTTTTAATTAAAAATATGGTAAATTTTTTCTGTTTATCTTTTATAGAGAACGTCCATTAAACAACGTGAGGGACAAGATCAGCAGCATCAGCATCAAGAGCATTATCCGAAGAGAAGGGAATAATAAAAATGTCCGTGCGGGTGTGCTAGTGAAAGTGTGTAAATATACGTGAAATTTTTTCCCATAGTGGTGAATTTTTTTTTTTTTTTGTTTTTTAGCCGCTTTTTGCCGCTGCTGAAAAATTAAAAAAAAAGAAATTTAGTGAAAAGAAAAAAGGAAAGAAAGAAAGAAAGTGCAGGAAAAAAAGAGTAGTAAAGGATAACGTGAATTTATTAAGGATATAATATAGAGAGATATAGATAAAAAAAAAGTAGAAGAAGAAAAAATAACGCGACGCCTATACATATAAATATATGTATGGAATATACAATTATTTAAAAAATCTATAGTGAAAAAAAGTTCAATATAGAGTTTTTGTTTTGTTTTAAAAATAGAGAGAGAGAGAGAAAAAAAAGTCGATCTTTATATTGTGTGGTGATTGGAAGAGAAAAAAAAGTCCGTGTCTCTTTTTTGAAACGTGATTGATCGATTTTTCTGTTTTTTAATTTTATTTTTTTTCAAGTGCAGTAAAGTGAGATCGATTAAAACATGTACATACGTAAATTGTACGCGTCAAGAAAGTGAATAACCCAACCACGGTGCGGGTCGATTGTCTGTACGAAAAATTCGACTTCATTCCTGCCACAAGTGACGCGATTGTTGGTGAGTTTTTTTTATTGTTTTATTCTTATTTTTATTATTTATATTTATTTTTTATTTTATACATTTTATTTTTTATTATTGTCAGCGTTTTTATTTATTCACATATTTATTGAATTTTTTATTTTACTTTATGTATGTTTTACATTTTTGAGAATATTCTATATTTTTATCCCTTTGGTTAAAGTTCGAAGGTTTCTTTGTTAATATTTAAAATTTTGTATATTTGTTATGCTCTTTTGGTTATTAGTTTTATTATTCTTATTTTTATTATTATATTGTTAATTATTTATTATAAATTATTAATCGATTAATTATAATGAATAAAGATTTAAATAAATGAAAATAAAAGAAATAATTCAAAATAATTAAAATAAATGAAAGTAATAAGAATAATACAGTTGAAAAACAAATTTAAGAATTGATCTCGCGTTGGCCGCGCTAGTTAAGGCGCTTACAATTACTAATACTGTTCTCGTAATGCGTTCGAATCCCCCTGAAGTTACAATTTTTCAATATTATCTGGCATCAATTATTTTAATGTAAATATCTAAATAAAACACCTAACAACAATAATATTATAATAACACTATTATTTTTATTGTTTTGTTTAATTATTTATTTAATTAATAATTCAAAAATATAAAATATATTTATAATAAAAATAATTTCGACAGAAAGCTGAAAGAAATTAAAAATACGAACTAATATTTTTTTGAATTTAAATTAAAATGTAAAGAAAAATATAAATAATATAGAGTTTTGAATTTTTTTCAATTTTGTCGAAAAAAATATTAATATTTATTTTTATTCGTTTTATTTAATGAAAAATGAAAAAAAAAAAATTGGGTTTGACTGTATCGAAACAAAATGAAAAGAAAAAAATAGATTGGAATCAGAAATTTTATCGCTTTGATAGTTTTAGAAAGATATTTTTTTTAATTTTCTGTTTCGATTTTAGTTCCGCCTTTTTTACAAACGTTTTTATCAATCAAAATTTTTTTCCTTAATTTTTTGCAATTGTATTTATTTACTTTTTATTTGAAATAATGTAAAATGTAAGTTGCTTTTCAATTATTTATTTATTAATAATTATAATAATTATAATAATTATAATAATAATAATAATAATAATTTTTTTCTTGTTATGTATTATCCTATAGGCGCAAGAACAGTTCCCCTTTAATGGCTAACTCATCATAGCCGTGGATACACACTCACACATTTGTATACATAACGTATAAGATAATTCGAAACGTCATATTCAGTTGGAGAGCCACCCCTTTTTCAAATATATCGATTACTTATTCATTAATGTTATATAAAAATAATATTTCATAATTTCAAAAATATTCCATTAATTAGTGAAAAATTTCTATTATTCTTTTTTTAAAAATGAAATTTTATACTTTGCAATTTTATTTAAATTCAATTTTAGTTCTAAAAAAAAATTTTTTAATTTGTTAATCATATTAGCAATTTTTAAAAATAATTTTTATTTTTAACTTTTTGATTATATAAAGTGGTAGTTATACAATTTAAGTTATTTATAAAATTAAGGTCCTTGAAGTTAGCGTCGACGTTCAACGTCGAGAAATTAATTGTTAATTACATTTGCCTATTAATATTAATAAATAAATAAACAAATTTTGAATATTAATAATATTAGTTCTAGAACTATAATTAGTTGATAAATATTATAAACTAATGTAATTATTAATGCTCTAGTTAAATTGAATAAATAAAATTTTAAACTCCTAGGGGGATTCGAACACATAGTCTCATTACTAACCGCATTAATTAGTGTAGCCAACGTGGATTCAATTTTTTTCGAATGAATAAAATATTCTTCCACTTTTAAATCATAGGCAAAATATTTTTCTTTGAAATGTTAATTATTTCTGTATTCAGTCGGGTTGAATTTATTTATAATATTTTTTTTTTGTATAAATATGTCTCTTAATAAAGTTTTTTAATTAATAAAAATTCGATAGATTTCTATAATTAAATTCGAGTCTCAAGTATATGCATCATAAGAGACTGCGTTTTTTTTTAATTTTCTCCACAAACGAATGACCAACCAGTGATGAAGATTTTTAATTAAATTTTTTTTTCTATTCTTTCTACTAACAAGAAAAACACATACACATGTAAAAAAAAATTAGTTCATTTACACTCGGAATAATAAACGTTTTTATTTTATTTTTATTAAGAAAAAGTATCTAACCAATAATTTTTTTAGATTTTTAATAAATTTCAATTAGTTTTTTAATTTAATTCCTTTCTTAAATTATTTAAAACAATCTTTATTTATTTATTTATTTTTCAGACTTTTTTTTTGAAAATTTGCACTATTTGAAATTCGCTAATATAGTTAGGATGAAAAAATTATTCTCAAAAATTTTAATTCCTCAAAAAAATGAAATTATTCTTAAATATTTTATTAAAATTCTTTGAAAGAATTGAAGTGTTTTAAAAAAAAATTTATATACTTTGTTTATTAGAATTTAATAATTATTTTCAATACATCTTTAATTAAATTTCTTAAAGGAATTTAATTATTTTCAAAAATTTTAATAAAATTCTTCGTAACAATTCAATTATTTTTAAAAATTTTTGATACAGATCTTTATAAGAATTCATTTATAAGAAATTTTTAATTATTCACTAAATTATTAATTTTTTTATTTAAATAATTCAATTCTCGTTGAACTTTCTAATTGATAAGAATTGAATTAAAATTGAATTTCAATTAAAATTTTACATAATAATTGAACATTTGAAAAATAGAAAAGAAAAATTGATTCTAATTTCTTTATTTTACTCTCTAAAAAGAATAAAGTAATTTCTTTTATGTCTGATTCATCTATTCTATATATATTTTTTTCTAATCGAATTGCGGTTTCTCTCTCGTTTATTATATTATAATTTTGAAAATTTATTCAGTGTCGACTCTTCCCGACGGTTCTGGCAGTTGTGACAGCTGTCGGTAACCAAGACGCAATTTAACACATCGAATATTATAATTTCATAACGGAAAATGCAGACATAATGAGACAGAAAAAGCGCGAGTGAGAGAGAATTTATTCTCATTTCTCTCTCTAGATTTTCATTTTTTTTTTTTTTTTTTTTTTAATCATATTTTCTATTAGTGCGATGACAAATTTTCTCTCTTAAGAAATGCTTTTTACGTTAAAAAAAAGGGAAAAAACTGAAAAGAAGAAGAAAGAAATATACATTTTTTGTCATTATAAATTTTATTTAAAAATAAAATTCTCCTCAATGGTAAATTTATATTTTGCAGTTTCATTTTAATACGTTTTTCCTTTTAACCATTTTTTTATTTCTTTTACCTTTCTGTCGAAATTATTTTTATTATTAATATATTTTTTAATTAAATAAATAATTAAAATAATAATAAGAATAATAGTATTATTATATTAATATTATTATTATTAGGTATTTTATTTAAATATTTAGTTTAAAAAAATTGATGGCAGGTTTTTAAAAAAATGTTACTTCAGGGGGATTCGAACGCGTTACTAGTTTAGTATCACTATAAGTGCCTTAACCAGCGCGGCCAACGCGAGACAATTTTTATACTTATTTTTCTAGTCTATTATTCTTATTACTTTCTTTTATTTTAATTACTTTATTTATTTTTTATTTAAATCATTGTTCATTATAATTAATTAACAATCTCATTTATTTATTTTTTAATTATGAAACAGGCAAAAAATAATAATATTAAGTAAAAATAATAATAATAATAATAATAATAATAATAATAATAATAATAATAATAATAATAATAATAATAATAATACCTAATAATAATAATACTGGTAATAATAATAATAGTAATAATAATATGAAATGTATTTTCTCGGAGAAAAAAGAAAATTTGAAAATTGAGGTCAATTTATTATTAAAATAGAATAAAATAGAATAATTAAAAATTTCGACATATTTAATTCAGTTATAATAATAACAAAAGAAAAAAGTGATTTTAAATTAATATTTAATTGCGGAAGATTTTCAAATTGGGACAGTTCATTTTGAGATTATTTAAATTTAATATTTCAATAAAGGAATTTTTTTTAAAATTAATTATTGATGTGAAATTGTAAAATTGGAACAAAAATATGACGAAAAGTTAAACTGAATAAATAATATCACTTTTCAATTATTCAATAAAAATGTTCCAATTTTCTCCTTCGAAAATTAAATTTATTAATAAAAATTTATTCATAGAGTAGAAATGAATTTTCAAGAAAAATTTAATCTTTTCAATTTGATTTTTTCTTATTTTTTTCTGTTTGTTAAAAAATTAATTTTTTTAATAGATAAATAAAAAATTGTTGAATCAATTATTTTGTTTATAAAGAAGTTAATTGTAAAACTTAAGTTTATTTATTTATTAACTAAATAATTGAATTCTTTTGGGAAATTTTTAATAAAAATAGATATATATTGAAAATAATTGAATTTCGAAAAATTTTTTAAAGCAATTAAATTCTTTCTAAGGGTTTTAATAAAATATTAAAAAATAATTTCAAAAAAAAAAAATGTAATTTATGGGGAAAAATTAGAAAAAGTAAAGAAAAGAAAAAAAATGTGTTGATTGCTGTTTTTTTTATGTAAAAAAATTGAGAATTTGTTTTTATCTTTGCAGTTCATAATGCGCCAGGGGTGATGGAGACAGTGGGCAAACAAGTCCAGGTAGTGAGCGGACTGGGCGTGGGGGGTCCAGTAGGGCCTGTGGGCCCTGTGGGGGCAGATCTGCATCACCATCATCACTCCCACCCCCACGGGGGCCACGGCCACGGTCACTCGTTGGTCGGCACTGCGGCGACCTCTGTTGCAAGGGGTCAGGCCCAATCGCATCAGAGCCAGGCTCCACCACCCTCACACAATCAACATCTACCTGCCAGGTCTACCCCCGTTCAACTTCACAGGTCAGTTCAAAGTTCATCTCTCTCTTTTTCATTTTTTTTCTTTTTTTCTCTTTTTTTCTTCTTCTACCATTTCTTCTTTCGTGTCCCTCCCCGCCACCCCTCGAGATTGCAAGGATCCGTTTCGATATTTCGTCTTTTATTAGATATTAGGTTCATTCTTTAAATAATAAATTAATAATTTAAGTAAAAAAATATTATTATTAATATTATAAGGTAATGATTTTTATATTAATTATTATATATAGTTCATAAACTACGTCACGCTATTTTGCACTATTTTTTTACGTTTTTTAACGTATTTTTTTTTTACGCTGAATTCGAATATGTCGTTAGATTTTCTCTAAAACGTCAATTTTCAAAATGGCGAATTCAATATGGCGGATAAAATTAGAAATCAATGGCATTTGCTTGAAACTCGTTACTCGGGGGTTTCTTGGGTCGCAGATTACGAATATGAAGTCAGAGTTTTAAAATTTTAAATGGCGGATCCAATATGGCGGACGAAAAAAATAAAAAATCAATTTTATTAGCTTCATACAAAATCAGGGTTGTCGCAGGTCAGGGAATTCAGGAAAAAGTTAGGGATTTTTATTAAAAGTACTGGAAAAAATTAAATATTTAGAATTTATAAGAAATTTTGGAATTTTTGAAAAAACCTTAAATTTCTTCTATTTCTGACAATAATTTATTTTAAATAACTTAATTCTATATTGAAGAACTGCCATAAAGTTATTACTTATAAATAATTAAAGGAAGTATTTTTTTGAAAAATTTTAATTTCAATTCTGTTGAAATTAGTTTCAATTTAAAAAATTTTGACGCAATTCTTTGAAAGAATTCGACTATATTAATAAATATTAAAATTCTTTTCGGAAATTCAATTATTTTCAAAAATTAAAAAAAAATTCTCGTCAACATTTCAATTATCTTTATAATAATAGCAAAATTCTTCGCCGAAATTCAATTATATTTAGGAATTTTTATAAAATTCATTGTAAAATTCAATTATTTTTAAAAATAACAATATTCATCATAGGAATTCAATTATTTTCAAAATTGATACTATTCTTCGCAGAAATTCAATTATTTTCAAAAAATCGAAAAAAATTGTCAACATTTCAATTATTTTGATAAATGAACAGAAAATTCAATTATTTTCAAAAATTTTAATAAAATTCATGTCAAACTTTCAATTATTTTCAAAAAATTTTCTTAATTCTATGATTTTTAATATTCTACTATTTTCATAAAATTTACCAAAAGAATTCAATTATTAAACAAAAATTTTGATAAAATTTTACTCAAATATTCAATTATTTTCAAAAAAAAAAAAAATTTCACAGTAATTCAATTATTTAAAATAGAATTTGCATAAATTTTTTCGAAAACATCAAATGTTTTATAATTTTGCATTCAATTCTTCGCAGTAATTCAATTATCTTCGTAAAATTAAAAATTTTTTTTAGGAATTTAATTATTTTCATAATTGATAAAATCATTCGGAGAAAGTCAATTATTTTCATAAGTAACAATATTCATCACAAGAATTTAATTATTTTTTTAAAAGTAATAAAATTCAATTATTTTAAAAAATTGTATTAAAATTCATTGCAAAATTTCAATTATTTTCAAAAAATTTTCTCAATTTAATAATTTGTATATTTATTATTTTAATAAAATTTCCCAAACGAATTCAATTATTTAAAAACAATTTTAACAAAGTTCTACATGAATATTCAATTATGCTCTAAAATAATGAAAATTTCTCAGGAATTCAATTATTAAAAATAGAATTTGCATAAATTTTTTCGAAAAAATTCAATTGTTGGCAAATTTCTTATAAAATTCTTCGCAATAATTCAATTATTTTCATAAATAATAAAACTTATCGCAGAATTTCAATTCTTTTTAATACAATTTTAATCGAATTCCTCGAAAAATGTGATTATTCTTAAAAATTTCATTAAAATTTGTCGAAAGAATTCAATTATTTAAAAATTTGTTGATAAAATTATGTATAAGAATTAAATTTTAAAAAATATTCAATTATTCAATAAATTATTTATGTTTGCATTTAAATAATTGAATTCTCATAGAATTTTCTAATAAAAATTGATTTAAAAATAAATTTCAGTTATAGTTTTAGATAATAATTGAATTTTGAAGAATTTATTTATAATTGCAATTTTTAGAAATAATTGAATTTTCTAAAGCTTTCAAAATAATATCGTTAAAAATCTGAATTTTTCATATATTTCATAATATTTAATTGAAGAATTTCCAAATAATTGAAATTTCATAAAATTGAATTGTAAATCAAAGAATTTGAAAATTGTCAAAAGAACTTTATCAATAGTTATTAAAAATAATAATTGATTTAAAGAAAAATGTTATTTAAAAATTGCAGAAAATGATAATTGAATTATTTAAAAATAAACTTAGTAAAAAGTAACTAAAAAATGGTTCAAGCAAAAATAGTAATAAATAAATTAATTAAAAAACGGTTTTTAAATAAAAAAAAAAGCAAAAATAGAAAAACATTAAGAAAATGAAAAAAGATAAAAATTAAATAAAGGTAAATATTAATATAAATAGCAATAATAATAAATATAGGAAACGTAATTATAAAAAAAATTATTAAAAATTTTCTAAACTATTTTTAGTAATTTAGAAGGAGACATTGACGCACATGTAATAAAAAATGAATAAATACAATAAATAGAACAATGGACTTTACATGTCCCTATACTTCAATTTGTGTTATATATTCATATATTATGTATATATTATAAACACTAATATTACTTTAGGACTTATTTTATACCTATATAGATGACAATGCAATAAAAATTATCTAATCATATATTATAGAAGACAAAGAAACTTTAATGATTATTATTGAAAGACAAAAAAAAATGATAAAATTATACTTTTGAAGATATTGAAAAAGATTAAAATATTGAAGAAAAAACGAAAAAGAAATTTAATGATTAATAAAAAAAAGAAATATTTGAAAAAAAAATTAATAATAATTATTTTGATAGATAAAAAAGAACATAAAATGTAATTATATAAAAGGTTAAAGAACTTCTAATTATATGTATATATGTACACATACATACGTGTATTATAAAAAGGAGACAAATGAACATATTCAGTCGTCATAAAATATATAGATGTTTCTAGATATGTATAATATAACAGACTTTTATGATATCGTAAAAATCGCAATTAATAGAAGTTTAATAATAATTAGGAGAGAAATAGCAATTAGAACATGATAAAAAAAAGATAATTTTAATAGACTTTCTATTTTTTCAATTGTATTTTTAATTGAAATAGTGAAGAAAATTTCCAAATTTTGGGGGAAGAGGTGGAATTCTGATTTAATATTATTATTATTCTTACTATTTTCATTTTCATTTATTTTTAATCATTTTATTTAATTATTTTTATTTTCATTGCCCTAGGGCAATAATGGGCACTTTATTGACCTTACTCACAGGTTAATAAAGTACTCATTATTCCCCTAGGGCAATAATGGCAATAATGGGCAATATATTGACCAGCTGGACTATATAAAGGATCTTAGATAATTAAATGTGTACTTTATTACTCACAGTAAAAAGAAAATCTTATTTTAAGGCACGAAAGCTGCCTTAAATTAAGATGCAACATTTTTAAGACAGTCAATGTTGAATTTACGCACGTTTTTCGTATCCTTTAACATTATAGCAGACAGTGTTGAATTTAAGGCAGCTCTTAAATTAAGATTTATTTTTTACTGTGCTCTAGGGCAATAATGAGAACTTTATTGACCTTACTTATAGTTAATAAAGTACTCATTATTCCCCTAGGGCAATAATGGGCACTTTATTGACCTTACTCACAGGTTAATATAGTATTCATTATTCCCCTAGGGCAATAATGGACAATATATTGACCAGCTGGACAATATAGAGGATTAAGATGTGTACTTTATTACCCTAGGGCAATAATGGGCCATTTATTGACCAGCTGGGCTATATGGAGAAAATTGGATAATTAAATTGATTTTAATGAAAATTGAGGGCAAAGGAAAAAAATAAACAGGTCAAGCTGTCGTTATAATTTTTTCTCGAATTGTATGATGTTTAATTCTGGCAACCGAGTGTCAATTATCCCAAACGGTTTTATTGAATTTTTCTCTTTACAATCTAGAACATACACATATATGTATATTATATATATAAATTTCGATCAATATAGAAAACACAGTCGCGCATCTTTTTTTCAACAAACTTAAATATTCTCTTTCTGTAGTTTTTCCTTTTTTTGCGATAAATAGGAAAATAAATAAAAAAAATTCGAGTCAGTGAAAGAGAAAGGATTTTTTCTTTTTATTTCGATATCATTTTATCTTGAACAGAAATCTCGCTGATTTCATCTTATCATTTTTTTTCTTTATTATATAAAAAATAAAGCATGCGATCTTTAATAATATTCTCTTTTATAACGAAAGTCATTATTATTATAATAATGCCAAGAATACATGTAAAAATTAATAAGAAAGTATAAAAAAGAATATAAAGTATAAAAATATAAAAGAAAACCACAATTTTTCAAAGGATATCAAATTGAGAGAAAAAATGTATCAAAATAGTTGCGAATCAACGTTTTGATACGTTTTTTGTCTCAATTTGATATTCTTTGAAAAACTGTGAAAATAAAAAATAAAATTCATAATAAAAGTAATACATATAAACAACAATCGTAGTAATAATAATTATTACTGGTCCCGTATATTTAATAAATAAATACTTTTATTATTATTTATTGTACAATAATAATAATAATTTTTATAATAATAATAACAACAATAATAATAATAATAATAATAATAATAAATAAATGCTGGTATAAATAATAATAAGAGCTAGTATTAATAATAAATAATATTTAAAAATATTTGAAAACAATTGCTGGTGAAAAAATTTTTTTTATAAATAGAAACAATATAT